CTTCCGCCTCAGCCTTCCAGTAGCCGGAATTACAGGCATGCGCTACCACACCCGGCTGGTTTTTTGATTTATTGTACAGATGAGGTCTAGCTGCCCAGACGGGTCTCGAACCCGTGGACTCAGGCAATCCACTCACCTCAGCCTCCCAAAGGCGCGGGATTACAGGCTGAGCCACCGAGCCCATCTTACTTTTTTTTTTTTTTTTAATAGGAGTCTCACTCTGTTGCCCAGGCTAGAGTGCAGTGGCACGTTCACGGCCACCACAGCCTTGACCAGCTGGGCTCAGGTAATCCTTCTGCCTCAGCCTTCTAAGTAGCTGGAACTACAGGCACACGCCACCATGCCTGGCTAATTTTTTGATTTATTGTAGAGATGAGGTCTCTCCAAGTTGTCCATGCTGATCTTGAACCTCTGGACTCAGGCAGTCATCTCGCCTCTGCCTCCCAAAGTGCTGGGATTACAGGCTTGAGCTACCGCGCCTGGCCTGAGATCCACTTTTCTTAGCTCCCACATCTGAGTAAGAACATGTGATATTTGTCTTTCTGTGCCTGACTTATTTCACTTAACATAATGAACTTCAGTCCCATCCATTTTGCTGCAAATGAGAGGATTTCACCCTTTCTTATGGTATCAAACAGTACATGAGCTCTGTCAATGCCACTAATAAATGTTTATTGGTTTATTGAAACCTTATTGGAGTAAATTAATTTATCTAGTAGTTTATTAATCTTATCTACTAAATGAGTAGCCAGTGGACTTTTTTTTTTTGAGTTGGAGTCTCTCACTCCTTTGCCTAGGCTGGAGTGCAGTGGCTTGCACGCTCATGGCCACCCCAGCATCAACCTGCTGGGCTCCAGTGATCCTTCCATCTCGGCCTTCCAAGTAGACAGAACTACAGACACGTGCTACCACACCGGGCTATTTTTAATTTTATTGTAGAGAAGAGGTCTCGCCAAGTTGCCCGGGCTGGTCTTGAACCCACGGGCTCAGGCAATCCACTCGCCTCGGCCTCCCAAAGTGCTGGGATTACAGGCTGAGCCACCGAGACCAGCCAACTTTTTAACAAGTTTTTTTGTTTTGTTTTTGAGTTGGAATTTCACTCTGTCACCTACGCTAGAGTGCAGTGGCATGCTCACGGCCACCGCAGCCTTGACCTGCTGGGCTCAGGTGGTCATTCTGCCTCAGCCTTCTAAGTAGCTGGAACCATAGGCATGTGCCACCATGCCCAGCTGATTTTTTCATGTACTGTAGAGATGAGATCTCGCCATGTTGCTCAGGCTGGTCTCAAATCCCTGAGCTCAGGTAATCCTCTCGCCTCCACCTCCCAAAGTGCTGGAATTACAGGCATGAGCCACCATGCCCAGCTTTTTTTTTTTTTGAGTTGGAGTCTCACTCTGTTGCCCAGACTGGAGTGCAGTACCCGCTCCTGGCCACCGCAGCCTCGACCTGCTGGGTTCCGGCGATCCTTCTGCCTCAGCCTTCCAAGTAGCTGGAACTACAGGTGTGCGCTACCCTACCCGGCCAATTTTTTTATTTATTGTAGAGATGAGGTGTCACCAAGTTGCCCAGGCGGGTCACGAAATGCCCAGCTTTTAATAGTTATTTTATCTACCTGAAATCCCCCAAGAAACTTAACAAGTATGCAACCGAATCTATAGACAAAGAAAGACTATTTTAAGCAAAAAATTTTTATAAAGAAAATTGCTCTGGGAAGATTCCCATATTTGCTGGATAGTTGTAAAATATCTTTAACCCATCAACATGGCAACAGTTCTATCAGATGAATTCATTTAATGTCTTTCAGAGCAAGTATATTGAGCTTATCTTAATAGTTTTCTTTTTTTTCTCTAGGCTAATTTTGAAAAGATTGAAAATGAACTGAAGGAAATCAACACAAACCAGGAAGCTCTGAAGAGAAACTTCCTAGAACTGACTGAATTAAAATTTATACTTCGCAAAACTCAGCAGTTTTTTGATGAGGTCAGACTATTGTTTCTTTTAGTATTTGAGAAGCTGATATTTACACTCGCACAAGTGGGCCATATTTTTATTCCAATAATTATTTTAATTTGCTAGTTTGGAAGCAGTACCATTTTTGCACCATTTTAGTTGAAGAAATGTCAAATTATGTTCCATTTTCCATGCAGTACACAACCAGCCATGGTTTTGTATTTTTTCACGTTTTCTGCAGTTTTTCATCTCAGGATGAGGAAGGGAACCCTGAAGGAGTATAAACATAATTAGTAGAAATTTTCACATCATATTTAGATTTTATAAGGTAAGTATATGCTTAAGGCTAAAGTTGAAGAAACAAACGTTTGGCTACAGACGAAACTGTAACAAAGGTTTAATCGTCAAACCTTTTATCAATACATTTTTATTTTATTCTCTATGATTGCTTATGAACCTTTGAGCACATTTTTCAATACTTCAGATAGCATATATTACACACATTTTCAAGAGTTTTTCATTGTGTTGTGTGGACATAGTGGTAGGGTGCTTATTTGAAACTCCTGGGTTTTCACATACATTTAGTTATATTACCTTATAGGAGAAAATGTTAAGTTCCTGGGTTACAAATGTAGGTGACTGAGTTGCCAGGTAACAGTTGCTGAGGTGACCCCACAGAAGGACTTGGAGCAGGGCTTGCAGAAGGCTCCTTCTCCTACTGGAACCTAGGAGGGAACATAGCTTTCAGCCTAGATTTGGTTTTTCTGATGGCCTAAAGTGTGAGGAACTAAGCTTTTGGGAGGTGTCTTTGCCATCAGATTAACAATATTAGCTATTTCAGGCTGGGAGCAATGGCTCACACCTGCGATCCCAGAACTTTGGGAGGCCAAGGTAGGAGTATCACTTGAGCCCAGAGTTCAAGACCAGCCTAGGACATAGCAATATCCTGTCTCTACAAAATAATAATAATGATGGTGATGATGATAAAATTTTTAAAAGAAAATAAATAAATAAAGATCCTTCAGAGATTGTTCCAGTCACTGTTCGGTGTGCCTTCCCATGAAGTTCTTTAATTCCTTTGCTCAACAAAAAAAAGTGGAAAAACTTTCAAATATAGGGGATCAGTTTCAGTTAGCATCTGCTGTCTTCTTCGTTTTACTCTTAACTTTTGTCTTTTGAGGAGAGATCAATTCTCCATAATTCTCTAGGCTGGAACATATGTTCTCTGAGCAGCAATAGCAGCAGCAGCCTCATGTGGGATCTTGTCAGAGAGTCCCCATTCCAGGCCACCTGCATCAGAAACTCTGGGGGTGCGACCCAGCAATCTTTTAACAAAGTGACCAGAGGCATGTTAGCTTGAAAACTGCTGGCTAGAGAGACAGTCTGCTGAAGATATGGTACATTCCGCAGTAACTAAGGACTTGACTCAGAGAAGCCATGCCAATTAAAAAGGTCTGCTGGGGGAGGGAAAGAGAAAAACCCTTGTGAATGTAGTTGCCTGGTCCTCCTAAGAGTCAGACTATGGTTTTTATAAACAGAGTGCAAATACTCAGCCTGCTCATGGAGTTGAGAATTTTGAGACTGTTAGTAACTTCTTTCACCAACCCCCAGTATCATTGCACTAGAGGGTGTGGGGCATGTGATTAACTCTCTCCAAGTGTTTCAGGTCTTTTGCAACAGGCATGGCCACTTATACCATATGGTTTTAATGAACAAATAGCCTAGAATTCCAGTGTACTCGCTGCCTAAACATTATTGTCATTTTATTTGCTGATTAACTGAGCATATAATGAGCACCTACTCTTTGTGAGAACGAGATGAATAAGACATGGGCCCTGTGTTCAAGAGTGTATCATTTTGTCATATCAGGAAATGCCCCTGCACATGACACCTCTGTATGCCCCAAGTATGCTTTTTCTGATGTGTCCAAGCTGCTACCCACAGATCCAGTGCAAGGCTGACCTCACTCAGTCAAAGCTCAGCTACTTTCAACATTGTTTGGAGCTTAATTTTTTGACCCACCCCCTCATTTTTCCCCCTTTTGATACACCTTTAGTTTATTGCTGAGATGTTAAGTATGAAAATGGCTTTCAGGAACTCCTAAGTGTGAGGATTGCTGAGAGCTTTCTACTCTGGTTCGTTTGGGGAGAAATTTTCTTTTTTTCTTTTTTTTGTTTTTTTGAGTCAGAGTTTCACTCTGTCTCCCAGGCTGGAGTGCAGTGGCATGCTCACAGCCACTGTAGCCTTGATCTGCTGAGCTCAGGTGATCCTTCTAACTCAGTCTTCCAAGTAGCTGGATCTACAGGTGCGCACCACCATGCCTGGCTAATTTTTTTATTTACTCTAGAGATGAGGTCTCACCATGTTGTCTCAAACCCACGGGCTCAGGCAATCCTCTCGCCTCCACCTCCCAAAGTGATGGAATTACAGGCATGAGCTACCATGCCTGACTGGGAGAGATTTTCAGTAAAGACTGATAGGTGGATTCCTATCAGGAATAATTATTTAGGGAAATGATTATTTAAACTATTACTTTTCTAATTAAAAAACATAGTAAAATAAAATAACAGGAGCCATTTGAGAAAATGACTTAAAAATTTAAATTTCCTTTTTTTTTTTTTCTGAGTCAGTCTCACTCTCTCACCCAGGCTAGAGTGCAGTGGCACAATCATGGCTACCGCAACCTCAATCTACTGGGCTCAGGCAATCCTTCCACCTCAGCCTTCCAAATAGCTGGAACCACAGGCATGTGCCACCATGCCCAGCTAATTTTTGGATTTATTGTAGAGAAAAGGTCTCGCCAAGTTGCCCAGGATGGTTCCAAACCCTTGGGCTCAGGCAGTCCTCTCGCCTCTGCCTCCCAAAGTGCTAAGATTACAAGTGTGAGCCACCATGCCTGCTAGTAATTTTCTTTTGTGGTAAGCCTAAACACTACCTGCTCATCCTGAGGGACCGACTGGCCCTGTTCATGGAGTGTTACTTCCCCTCCTATTTATACAAAACTTTTATTTATTTATTTTTTCGATCTCTGGAAGTTCTTATAACACAAGGTCTTGACTATGAGGGAATTGTCACCAATTCCCCTTCATTCCTTCTGCCCTCACAGCAGGGCAGGCAGTCTTCCTCTGCCTTGCCTGTCCTTGCCACTGGCTCCAAGCCTCAGCCAGGTCCCTGCTGTGAGCCTTGCCCAGATCTCTGCCGTAGACCTTGTCACCTGGCAGTAGGCTCAGGGGTTGCTGCCACAACCTTGTGTTGGCACACACAAGTGCATGCTTTAAATAATGCAGAAATGGATAGGAGAAGGGGTAGGAGGAAAAATATGAAAAATAATTAATAAATAAATAATGCAAAAATGAAAACACTCGGGACACTTGTCAAAAACAGGATTTTTCATGAGAATTTTCTTCCATGCCTGAAGTGATAATGTCTGCAAATGGCCTGAAACACTACCAATGTTAAGCCCCTCTTCTTTTTTACAATTTGATGAATACAATCAATAATTCCCAGTAATGAGTTATCAGAAAATGGCCAAATCAGGAACTGATTTTTTCATATTTAGACATAGGGGTTATGGTTGGCAGGGTGTGTCGAATGGGAAAAGTAAACATGTATTGAATATTCTGATGATTGAAAGTGATTACAAATTCGACTCAGCCATTTCTTATCCAGAGCATTTAAAATGACTTGTTAATGATTATCCTTTTCTCAGTCTTCTTGCTTATGAGGAACTGTAAGAGCTGGAGAGATTTCTCTGCATCTTTTACCATAAGCTCCATAACACATGAGAACGTAAAGAAGACTGGAAAAGTAATGGTTAATGGCATGCAGTTCCCTGCTTTCCTCTCCTTCTGAGTTCTCCATCCATCTGCTTTATTTTTCTTTCCCATCTGCTGTCTCCTTTGGGGCTTGGGTAATTTCTTAATGTAGATGGAAATAGCAGTGCTAGTTCTAGGTGATTGATGTGGCTTGAACTGGTTGTGCTGGCTTTTACTTAATTGCTGTACAAGAAATGACGCTCCGCTGCTTCCTTTTACGAGGCGTGTTTTTCAGTATTCTGTGTAGGGAAAGGAGCAAACCTGAGGGCACAACAAGTCATTAAGAAGCACGTTGGCAGGCCAGGCATGGTGGCTCAAGCCTGTCATCCCAGCACTTTGGGAGGCCGAGGCGAGAGGATTGCCTGAGCACAGGGGTTCTCGTCTCGACAATAAATTAAAAACTTAGCTGGGTGTGGTGGCATGTACCTATAGTCCCATCTACTTAGAAGGCTTAAGTGGAAGTATCGCTTGAGCCCGGCAAGTTGAGGCTATAGTGACTGTGAGCGTGTCACTGCACTCCAGCCTGGGTGACAGAGTGAGACTCCAACTCAAAAAAAAAAAGAAAAAAGAAAGAAAGAAACACGTTGGCAGTGCTGTCATTAGAGAACCCAAAGAGTCTAAGATTGGGATGGAGATACTCAGCAACAGGTTCTAGATTGTTGCTTTTGAGGCCCTCAGTTGGTGGTTCTGGTCATCCTTGTTTCTCATCGAGCACCATTTTATTTAAAAATATGTAGTTTTCCTCTTTAAGACTTAGGATTTTTAAGCATGAAGTAGTGAAATTAGTAATGAGACTATTATTGCAAGTTTCTGTTTAATTTTGTTTCTGCTTCTTTGTATTCTTTAGGCACAGTCTTCAGAGTAACCTAGTTAACCTAGTTGCTCAGCACTGTTCGCTGTTCCATCAGTTGTCTACTTAAGAGCACATGTATCTAGCTTTGAGATGTTTAGGGTTTACTTAAACCAGGTTTTGTAGGAGGGAGTCTTGTGAGTAGCAGTTACTTTGTTTTTTTGCAGAGTGATATCCCAAGAACAAGTTGAAATGTTGTAGTTATCTGCAACCTGAAAGCAGGTTGCTTGCAGTCTGCTGATTTGATTTCAGGTAGAAAGAAAAGGAACCCCCTTGACTTCCATGTGACAGCAAGTAGTAACAGGTTTCCCCATGACTTCACTTTAAAATTTTCCAATCAGCCAGGCTCGGTGGCTCAGCCTGTAATCCCAGCACTTTGGGAGGCTGAGGTGAGTGGATTGCCTGAGCCCACGGGTTCGAGACCCGCCTGGGCAACTTGGTGAGACCCTCATCTCTACAATAAAATAAAAAATTAGCTGGGCGTGGTAGCGCGCGCCTGTAGTTACAGCTACTTGGAAGGCTGAAGCGGAGGGATCGCCGGCGCCCAGCAGGTCGAGGCTGCGGTGGCCGGGAGCGGCCACTGCACTCCAGTCTGGGTGACAGAGTGAGACTCCAACTCAAAAAAAAAAAAAATTTTCCAATCACGCCTGGCACAGTGGCTCACACCTGTAATCCCAGTACTTTGGGAGATATAGGTGAGAGAATTGCCTGAGTCCAGGGGTTCGAGACCAGCCTGGGCAATTTGGCAAGACTTCAACTCTACAATAAATAAAAAAATTAGCCAGGCATGGTGGCGTGTGCCTATAGTTCCAGCTACTTGGAAGGCTGAGGAAGAAGGATCACCTGAGCCCAGCAAGTTGAGTCTGCGATAGCCTTGAGCATGCCACTGCACTCCATCCAGTCTGGGTGACAGAGTGAGACTCGAACTCAAAAAAAAAAAAAATTGAGCACAGTGTTTCATATTTCAAGTCCCAATAGTAGAAAATCACATTGTTTATTTCAAGGTAACTCTGTGCAGAATAACCTCTTGGGATTCATGATAAATACAATTTAGCCGGCATGGTGGCTCATGCCTGTAATCCCAGCACTTTGAGAGACCAAGATGAAAGGATTGCCTAAACTCAGAGATTTGAGACAAGACTGGGCAACTTGGTGAGACTTGTTCTCTACAATAAATAAAAAAATTAGCCAGGCGTGGTGGCGCATGCCTGTGGTTCCAGCTACTTGGAAGGCTGAGGCAGGATTGCCTGAGCCCAGCAAGTTGAGGCCGTGGTGGCTGTGAGCGTGCCACTGCACTCCAGCTTGGGTGACAGTGAAACGCCAACTCAAAAAAAAGAGAAAAAGAAATAGGAAGATTGATTTGGCTCACTTCTAGTCTTTTATCAAATAAGTAGTGCATGAATATGAAAGCTTGGAAGATGAGGTAGTGGAGAAGTTGACTGGACTTTTTTTTAAAGCAGCCTTTTCTTTCTGCTGGGAGTAGAAGGGGAAGGATGAGTTGGGTAGAGAGAGGTTAGGAATAGAGATCCATGTATGGGAAGATCCCCTCCTCCCTCATTTCATTGTATAAACTGTGATGGTGGAAACCATTTCAAAGCTAACCAATTAGATGAGCCCTTGAACTCTAGATTGGTGTATTCTCTGTTGCTTTTTTTTTTACTTTACTTGATTCTTGAGCTATGTTCTTAAGAATCCTTCAATAGCCGGGTGCAGTGGCTCAAGCCTATAATCCCAGCACTTTGGGAGGCCAAGGCAAGAGGATTGCCTGAGTTCAGGTGTTCAAGACCATCCTGGGCAACTTGGCGAGACCTCCCCTCTACAATAAATCAAAAAATTAGCATGCTGGTGCATGCCTGTAGTTCTAGCTACTTGGAAGGCTGAGATGGAAGGATCGCCTGAGCCCAGCAGGTTGAGGCTGTGGTGGCCATAATTGTGCCACTGCACTCCAGCCTGGGCAACAGAGTAACACTCCAACTCAAAAAAAAAAAAAAGAAAAAGAAAGACTCCTTCAACTGTAAAGCCTATTTGAATGTTTTAACATTTTTAGATTCCTAGTCAGAAATATGCCATTTAGATATGATTTCACTTTTTCTTCCCTTTATGGGTGCAATAGAGGCCAGGCCTGCCCAGCTACTGTTCTTATCTACTTTTAGGGGGAAAGAAATACTCTTTAAATTCCATGACTTGGAGCATTCTATACGAGGCTATGTTAAATGTTCTCGTGGTCTGAATTCTTAAGGGCCTGGAAAACCTAGATGTCTGAAGATGGCCCTTCTCTCTGTCTCCAGACCATACAGTATTTAAGACGCCTTGCTTCTTCCTAGGAAAGCAAGTCTCCATCCTTCACACAGGGAAAATTCTAGTGTGTAGCTGACTGAAAGTAAATGTTGAGGGTGTCTGCAGGGCTGCTTTATTTTTGTGCAAAAGGGAGAGAGATTCCAACTTCTAGTACACAGGTGAAGGTATTTCCTGGTACTGTCATGGTTCATTCAGGGAAACATAGGAGAGAAAATGGCTTCCACCAAGTAACAGATTTATACATGTCACCATCATTTAATGTTTTTCTTTTTTCCTTATTTTGAAAGCCATTTCCCCAGATACTTTACTGGGACAATTCTGCTTTATTTACCTTGAGTTAATCTTCTTTGGTTTCTTCCCCTGTTCTTCTTGTCTCCTTTTTGTGGGTGTGTCTATCTCTTAGTGGTTTTTTTCTTTTTCATCCTTATTTTCTGAACCTGTCTCCTGGTCCCTCGTTCCCTGCATGCCACTAACTATTTTCATTAGATATTAATTGATTTGTGAATTCAGGCTGAATTGCATCATCAGCAGATGGCGGATCCAGACCTGCTGGAAGAGTCCTCGTCCCTCCTGGAGCCAAGTGAGATGGGAAGAGGCACGCCTTTGAGACTGGGGTGAGTTCCGCACCAGCTTCCCCTCACTCGGGGGACCATGTTGGTCTTTGCTGGTGGTTCACTTGCTGCCAGGATACACCCTCTTCCGAGCCTGTTGAGAACTGCTCCTGAGTCTGGCTTTCAGTCCCCTGTTATGCTGTCAGCTCTGCCGGTCCAGAAGTGAGATCAAGAATGGGACTTTAGCAGCCCTTTTGACTTAATGACATGTAGTGTGTGGTCTTTGCTCTTCTCTCACTTTCCTTCTTTGTCTTAAAGCCCCTGTCCCATGACATGAAACAGAGTTTCCAACCTGCCTCTCTTCCTGCAGCTTCGTGGCTGGCGTGATCAACCGGGAGCGCATCCCGACTTTTGAGCGCATGCTTTGGCGGGTGTGCCGGGGAAATGTGTTCCTGCGACAGGCTGAAATTGAGAACCCCCTGGAGGATCCTGTGACTGTAAGACAAGGAGGCTGTGTCCTGTGGAGTAGGTCTCATAGAGAGAGCCCAGAGCAGTGACGCAGCCTGGGCTACCTGAATCCCACCCTTCCACAGAGCAGCTCTGGTATCGTTCCTGGTTTGATCTGATAATTGGAAGGACTGTTCTTGTCCTCTGACTTACCACACAGTGTATATATGACATACACATTTTTTTTGAGTTGGAGTCTCACTCTGTTACCCAGACCGGAGTGCCGTGGCCGCTCCCGGCCGCTGTAACCTTGACCCACTGGGCTCCGGCGATCCTTCTGCCTCAGCCTTCCATGTAGCCGGAATTACAGGCACGCGCTACCATGCCCGCCTGATTTTTTTATTTTATTGTAGAGACTAGGTCTTGCCATGTTGCCCAGGTGGGTCTCGAACCCGCGGGCTCAGGCAGTCCACTCATCTCAGCCTCCCAAAGCGCAGGAATACAGGCTGAGCCACCAAGCCCGACTCATATATTTTTTTAAAGCAGGATTTATTGAGAGGACAGAAAAGCTCTCATACTGGGAGGGGACCCCAGGGGGTTGCCCGACATACACATATTTTTAAACTTTAGCTGTATAGGTGTTATTTGGATTGGAAATATTTTTTTTCACTCATTTTAAACTTTAGCTTTATATATATATTTTCTATTCCTGCTCTGGGACTGAAAGGAAATTTGCCCTTTATAAAAATTAACTCAAAGCAAGCCTGGACACAGTGACTCACACCTGTCATCTCAGCACTTTCGGAGATCGAGGCAGGAGGATTTCTTGAACCCAGGAGTTTCAGACTAACCTAGGCAACATGCAAGATTTTGTCTCTACAAAAAAATAAAAATAAAAAAGCCAGGCATAGTGATGTGCGCCTGTAGCCCCGGCTACTCAGGAGGCTGAGGTGGTAGGATTACCTGAGCCCAAGAGGTCAAGGCAGCAGTGAGCCATAATCATGCCATTGCCTTCCAGCTTAGGTAACAGAATGAAACCTCAATTTCCACCCCCCCCAAAAAAAGAAAAGAAAATTAACTAAAAGCAAGACATCTGGTTTCAAAATTTGTTAATATCCATGTAAGATGAGTTGGAGAGATTTCCTAAACTGTGATCTTTCTAAGCTGATATTTTACTTGGTAAGGTTTTTTCTGTCTACTTGTTTGTCAAGAGAATCAGAAACTTAGTTTAACACTATATATTGTGCAAGATAGAATGATCTTCCCCACCCAGTGCTTTGGGAAGTAGGAACAACATAACATCTTGGCATTTGACATAATGAAACAGAGCTCATTGTCTAAACCTACCTGGGCATGGTGAGTCCTGATTGCAGAGATCACAAGCAGAGATGAAATGTACTGCAGAAACTGTACTTTGCTCTTGTTCTCATATTATTTAGAAGCCTGGCGTTTTTCTTTTCTGAATTATCTTATGAGTTTCTTAAATTTGTATTCTTTGCTTTCCCCAAGAGGAAGTGAATGTTAGATTTCTCAGGTGGAATGGGTCATGCAGCTATATGGCTTCTGTCCTCCATGCTGACTAGATGTGTATGGCACTTAGGTGACTCCCCTTACCAGGGGTGGAGTTTTTTAATCTATTGAAGGCTGTCTTGGATTGTGGAAACAGTGTCATCTGTAGTCACACCCAGTATGGAGCTGTTTTTAGGAATGTGCAGTCTGGTTTCCTCTTGGCAACAGAAAGGTTATTTTATCAACAAGCCGGGGAAAGGATATCTGGATATCCATAACAGAGCAGCTGCACCAAGAGTGGGCTCCAGTTTAGCTTGAAGAATGTAGGGATTTAAGACTCTTAAGCCTGATTGTCTTCATACCTCATCTCATTTTACCACCTAAAGCTTTGTTTGTTTGCTTTCTTTTTTTTTTTTTGGAGTTGGAGTCTCACTCTGTCGCTCAGACTGGAGTGCAGTGGCCATTCCTGACCACCACAGCCTCGACCTGCTGGGCTCCAGCAATCTTTCCGCCTCAGCCTTCCTAGTAGCTGGAACTATAGGCGCACGCTACCATGCCCGGCTAATTTTTTGATTTATTGTAGAGATGAGGTCTCGCCAAGTTGCCCAGGCGGGTTTTAAACCCATGGGCTCAGGCAATCCACTCACCTTGGCCTCCCAAAGTGCAGGATTACAGGCTGAGCCACCGAGCCTGGCCTGTTTGCTTTCTTATTATAAAAGAAGTACTTGAACAAATGCTGTATGCAGCTAGGAGTAGATACAGGCAACCAGAAACAGTCCTGTGAATATGCGCTGTATCGTATATTCTGGTCATTCTTTCCAGCCCTTGTATCATACTCTGGGTGGAAGTTTGGTATTTGAAAGCAACTACCTTACTCCCTGCCCCGTAAAGTCTAGGTTAGCATGAACTGTATTCTTCCCAGCAACTCCATTCCTTATAGTTAATCAGTACCTTATCTATGCAGAATAGACAGAGATGGCTCCTTCTCTTGCCTCCCCTCCATACTCTTGTCATTTGGGCAACATAGGTTTGAAAATTGAATTGCGGAATGAGGCTGAGTGGTGCTAAGCAGAGCATTATCTTAGCTTCTTCGTCACATTCCCAGTGGAGTCAAAAAACAGATTGAGAAGGCGGTCTGTGAGTTAGAGACAATAGGGCAAATGTCTGCAGTGAAGCTGAGGAAATGGAGGGAAGGCAGTGGTGAAAGTGCAGGGTTGCTGTAGCCTGGGAGGATGCCTGTGTTTGGTCGGGTATGGTAGCTCATGCCTCTAATCCTAGCACTCCGGGAGGCTGAGGCAGGAGGATCACTTGAGCCCAGCCTGAGCAATATAGCAAGACTCCTGTTAAAAAAAAAAAAAGGAAAAGAAAAGGATGACTGTGTTCCTACTTCACCAAAAAAAAGTGAGTTATTTAAGAAGTTTTCATTCAGATTTGGAAGTCTGAACTCTTTGTTTTTGGTTCTGGGGTCTAGGGTGACTACGTGCACAAGTCTGTGTTTATCATTTTCTTCCAAGGCGACCAGCTGAAAAACAGAGTTAAGAAGATCTGTGAAGGGTAAGAAACATGCCTGCATGGGAGGGCACAGCCATGACCTCGTGTCGAGTCTTAGAACTTAGAATAGTGAAACACAAATCCTTCTTAGGTAAACATGGCTCTTTTTTTTTTTTTTTTTGAGTTGAAGTCTCACTCTGTCACCCAGGCTGGAGGGCAGTGGCACGCTCCCTGCCACTGCAGCCTCGACCTGCTGGGCTCCTGTGATCCTTCTGCCTCTGCCTTCCAAGTAGCTGTAACTAAAGGCACATGCTACCACACCCGGCTAAGATTTATTGTGGAGATGTGTCTCACCAAGTTGTCCAGGTAGGTCTCGAACCTGCAGGCTCAGGCAGTCATCTTACTTCAGCCTCCCAAAGTGCTGGTATTACAGGCTGAGCCACTGAGCCCGGCCAGCCCAAACATGGCTTTTAATAATATCAGGACTGGCCAGGCTCAGTGACTCGGCCTGTAATCTCAGCACTTTGGGAGGCCAAGATGAGTAGATTGCCTGAGTCTGCGAGTTCGAGACCAGCCCAGGCAATTTGACGAGATCTCATCTCTACAATAAATCAAAAATTAGCCGGACATGTAGAGACCTCATCTCTACAATATATCAAAAATTAGCGTGTGCCTGTAGTTCGGCTGCTTGGAAGACTGAGGCAGAAGGATTACTGGAGCCCAGCAGGTCGACGCTGAGGAGCGTGAGTGTGCCACTGCACTCCAGCCTGGGCAACAGAGTGAGACTCCAACTCAAAAATAATAATAATAATAATAATAATAATGTCAGGGCTATTTTAAACTGTTGGAAATAGCCTAAATTCATTCATTAAAGTACCATCAGAACCACAGTTTCCTTTCCTTGGGAAAAGTAATTTTAAGGACTCATGGCTTATAAATGCCGTGTTATTCTGGGACAGTGCGTCTGTATACCCAGCATAGTGCCATGAACTGTCCTTAAATTTTCCTGAAATTTTGCCTTAAGGACAGAATTCTTTCCATGTCATTTTTCTCTAATAATTTACAATATAATTTGCTTTTAAGTCTCAAGGGAATTTCATAGCTACAGAGAATGTCAAGATAGTTCAAGTGTTGTTATTGCTCTGTCTTCCCACGCCCCATAAATAATTTGTGTGGATTTAACACATCAGTCTGACTTCATCCTGTTCTGGTCCTTCTAGTAAAATAGCATTAGTTTCTGTAATTATTTAAATTGATTAGGAAACTTCGATGTTCCTAAGGCTGTCTGTGCATTCCAGGTTCCGAGCTTCACTCTATCCTTGTCCTGAGACACCGCAGGAGAGGAAGGAGATGGCTTGCGGAGTGAACACCAGGATTGATGATCTCCAAATGGTACACAGAGGGCTGGGGGGAATTTGGTTGTGTGAAATACTAAAATAAAAGAGGCTGAGCACGGTGACTCATGCCTGTAATCCCAGCACTTTGGGAGGTGGATGCAAGGTGATTGCCTGAGCCCAGGGGTTCCAGATCAGCCTGGGCAACTTGGCAAGACCTTATCTTTACAATAAATTTAAAAATTAGCTGGGTGTGGTGGCGCACGCCTGCAGTTCCAGCTACTTGGAAGGCTGAGGTAGAAAGATCATCTGAATCCAGCAGGTCGAGGCTGCAGTGGCCATGAATGTGTCACTGCACTCCAGCCTGGATGACAGAGTGAGACACCCACACAAACATAATAAAATAAAATAGAAGACCATTCTCTTTCCCTGAATCACTGATGGGTCATAGTGTACTTGTAACCAATCAGGATACCAAAAGAAGAAACGTCTATTGGTAATGTGTCCCTCGGGGAGTTGGGGAACATCTCAGGGAATGACTGTTAAGTATGGCATTAGTCATCCTCAGACAAGACCGGAATACTAAGCATCTAGAGTCGTCGTTGCTTAGAATATTCTGTTCCCTTCCACCCTGTGATTCTGAGATATTTTTTATAATAAAAAAAAATTGGGCTGGGCGCGGTGGCTCAAGCCTGTCATCCCAGCACTTTGTGGGATCAAGACGAGAGGATTGCCTGAGCCTGTGGGTTCGTGACCAGCCTGGGCAACACAGCCAGACCTTGTCTCTACAAAAAAATCAAAAAAATTAGCCAGGCATGGTATTGCACACCTGTAGTTCCGGCTACTTGGAAGGCTGAGGCAGAAGGATCGCTAGAGCCCAGCAGGTTGACGCTGGTGTGGCCTTGAGCGTGCCTCTGCACTCTAGCCTGAGCAATATAGCAAGACCATGTCTCTACAAAAAAATTTAAGAAATCAGCTGAGCATGGTGGCACGCACCTGTAGTCCTAACTACCTGGGAGGCTAGTGAAAAGATTGCTTGCACCCAGGAGGTCTAGGCCACATGAACCATATTCATGCCACTGCCCTATAGCATGACCCTGTCTCTCAAAATAAAGAGAATTGAATAGCAAGGACTGGGATGGGGAAAGAGAAAAGCAAATAAGACATTGCTTGCAAGTTTATTTAGCATTCTTCCAGAAGAAGTTTGATAAGTATTTGTGAAATAGTCAATAACCAGAAGGAGAGAGAGTGGCTGACCTCCAGTCAACGAAGGTTTCCCTAACATGCCGTGATTTTAAAAAAACAGCCTCCTGCCGAGCTCGGTGGCTCAGCCTGTAATCCCGTGCTTTGGGAGGCTGAGATGAGTGGATTGCCTGAGCCCGTGGGTTCGAGACCCACCTGGGCACCTTGGTGAGACCTCATCTCTACAATAAATCAAAAATTAGCTGGACGTGGTAGCGCGCGCCTGTAGTTCCAGCTACTTGGAAGGCTGAGGTGGAGGGATCACCAGAGTCCAGCAGGTCGAGGCTGTGGTGGCCGGGAGCGCCTACTGCACTTCAGTCTGGGCGACAGAGTGAGACTCCAACTCAAAAAAACAAAAACAAAAACAAAAACCAGCCTCCTTATGGGAGTCACCTTCCTCTGCCCAAGATGGTTTTTCAGGGAGTGGTTACTGCTTTGTTCTGAACTAACTTGAAGAACCATCTGCAAGAATCATCGAGACTTGTGTTCACCATGGTTAGTGCTACAACTTTTTCCTCTTCTGAGAGCTGCAGAGGTTTATAGTACATTCTCATACAGATGCGTGAGTGGTGGGTAGTTTGCCTGATTTCTTCCCATTGCTCAGCCTCTCTTCTGCTCTTGAAACCTTAAATACTTGGTAGTAAGGCAATGCAGTGCAAAACGTCCCTGCATCCTCCTCCAACCCTAGTCTTGGCAATGCTGTGCTATTTCTCTGAGGGGAAATCTGTATGCATTTCCAAAGAACCAACACTGAACTTTTTTCCTCTGAGAAGCCTGGCAGAAGGGTAAACCCTCATCTCTCCCATGATGGCAGTGGTAGGTGGCAGGACCAACCCCCTCTAAATAGCTCAGTGCTCCTGACCCCACTGTGGCTCCTGCCCTGTGTTCCTGGCGTAGGCTGGGCATGGTGTTCAGCACTGCCACCACTTGCTAAAGCCGTCTCACATGCGAGGGATTTGCAGATGGCAGTGCTTCAGCTCCTGGGTCTGTGATGCCCACTTCTTCGAGTTTGAGTTATAGTTTCCACATAGAAAGTCACTGGTTTTTGTTTTGTTTTGTTTTGTTTTGAGTGGGAGTCTTACTTTTTCACCCAACTGGAGTACAGTGGCATGCTCACGGCCACCGCAGCCTCGACCTGCGGGGTGCAGCTATCCTTCCACCTCAGCCTTCCAAGTAGCTGAAACTACAAGCGTGCGCCACCATGCCCAGCTAAGTTTTTGATTTACTGTAGAAACGAGGTCTCGCCAAGTTGCCCAGGCTGGTCTCGAACCTGTGAGATCAGACAGTCCTCTTATCTCAGCCTCCCAAAGTGCTGGGATTAAAGACTTGACCCTAGCCAGGCTCGGTGGCTCAGTCTGTAATCCCGCGTCTTGGGAGGCTGAGGTGAGTGGGTTGCCTGAGACCGCAGATTCAAGACCCGCCTGGGCAACTTGGCAAGACCTCATCTCTACAATAAATCAAAAAAATTAGCCAGGCATGGTAGCGCATGCCTGTAGTTCCAGCTACTTGGAAGGCTGAGGCAAAAGGATCGTTGGAGCCCAGCAGGTCGAGGCTGCGGTGACTGGGAGTGGCCACTGCACTCCAGTCTGGGCGACAGAGTGAGACTCCAACTCAAAAAAAAAAAACAAAAAACAAAGACTTGACCCACCACGCCCGGCCAAAAGTCACTGCTCTTTACTGAGCCAAGTAAAAGCCAATGGCCTGCATTTATTTGTTTGCCTTGTATTGGTGGTAAGATTGAATATTGAAAGAAAAGCCAAAATAAATTTTTTCAAGTTTCTCTTCAACTTGAAGCTAAATGAAAGTGAATGTTAGTAACTAGAACTCAAATTTCTTGTAATTTGTCAAAAAACCCAGCAGCAACACTCTAACCAGAGGAGGAAAAAGCCAGTTCCCCAACAACCCCTTTGAGAAAGCCATGAGAGCAAGGACTGTGCCAGAAGGCTCTCTTTCTGTTCCTTTCTCCCTGGAAGGTTCTGAATCAGACCGAGGATCACCGCCAGCGGGTCCTGCAAGCGGCTGCGAAGAACATCCGTGTGTGGTTCATCAAGGTACGGAAGATGAAGGCCATTTACCACACCCTGAACCTGTGCAACATCGATGTGACCCAGAAGTGCCTGATCGCGGAGGTCTGGTGCCCCGTCACTGACCTTGACTCCATCCAGTTTGCACTCAGAAGGGGCACGGTGAGTTCCCAAAGATGGCAATGCAGTTTGTGGCCGGAAAGAGAGGTTTCCATCCATAGTAACATGAATTTCATGGTAACGGGATTTTTACTTTCAGAGTTTCTTAATGTATTCATCTTGAGTCCTGACGGTGCATTTCATATAGAGCCTAGAGCACTATCCATATTTTGCAGATGTGGAAACAGCAGTTCAGGAAGCTAAAGTGACCTGGTCACATGCCGGCATTTCTTCAGGGCAGCTCATGACCAGAGCAGCATTCTCCTGACCCACTCCCTGTATTTAACTGCTCTGGCTGGTAGTCAATGAGAGTGACTTCTCTGTCGGCCTGGTGGGGTACAGAGATGTACACAACAGCCCTCAAGCCTGATGGCTCATTAGGAGAGGATGCCATGGGCACACGAGACAGTCTGTACCAACAGTACCAGTGGTGACCTGTGTGTGTAGAGGGAAGTGGAGTTTTTCCAACTATGGGGATTGGAAGAAACTTCAAGAAAGTGGCATTTCATCAGGGCTTTGAAGGTGCATAAGATGTTGATTGGCAAGGAAGAGAAGAGAACAGTGGGCAGGCAGTGCAGAGGCAGGGAATATGGTGCACCCGGGTGTGTTGGGCAGGAGCAGTAATTGTGATGGGTCAGCTGGAAGGGTGGGGGTACCTGTCTACGTCAGGTAGGCTGTACCCTAATAGTGAACGGTTTAAAATAAGAGGATAGAAGGTTGTTGTTTATTTTTTGAGTTGGTCTCACTCCGTCACCCAGACTAGAGTGCAGTAGCATGCTCCCGGCCACCGCAGCCTCGACCTGCTGGGCTCCAGTGATCCTTCCGCCTCAGCCTCCTGAGCAGCCGGAATTACAGGCGTGTGCTACCACGCCCAGCTAATTTTTTGATCTACTGTAGAGATGAGGTCTTGCTGCCCAAATGGGTCTCAACCCGCAGGCTCAGGCAATCCACTCACCTCAGCCTCCCAAAGCGCGGGATTACAGGCTGAGCCACCGAACTGATCAGAGCAGTTTTAAGAGAGTAATCCAGCCAGATATGATGGCTCATGCCTGTAATCCCAGCACTTTGGGAAGCCGAGGTAGGAAGATTGCTTGAGGCCAGAGGTTTGAGACTTGGCAACATTGTGAGACCTCATCTCTTAAAAAAAAAAAAAAAAAGAGGTTAGGCACAGTGGCTCATACTTGTAATCCCAGCACTTTGGGAGGTGGAGACTAAAGGATAGCCTAAGCCCAACAGGTCGAGGCCATGGTGGCAGTGATTGTGCCACTGCACTCCAGTCTGGGCCACAGAATGAGACTCTGATTCAAAAAAGAAAAATAATAATCTGCTGATAGTTTCTAGGTTGGCTTGAGGTGTGGAGAGATGCCATATGCAGGTCAGTTAGGAGGTTATTGTAGATGCAGATGACACAGAGTAGGAAATGATTAGGACTTCTACATAGGACTTGGGAAGATAAAATGATGAATGTTTGAGACATTCTGAAGGAGAACCCAGTAGGTCTGCTTGATTCCTAGCAAGATACAGGAGAAATACAAGGAGAAATAATTTAAAATGTTTTTGGGCCGGGCTCAGTGGCTCAGCCTGTAATCCCAGTACTTTGGGAGGCCGAGGTGAGTGGATTGCCTGAGCCCGTGGATTCGAGACCCGCCCGGGCAACTTGCTGAGACCTTGTTTCTACAATAAATAAAAAATTAGCCGGGTGTGGTAGCACGTGCCTGTAGTTCCAGCTACTTAGAAGGCTGAGGCGGAAGGATCGCCGGAACCCAGCAGGTCGAGGCTGCGGTGGCCAGGAGCGTGCCACTGCACTCCAGCCTGGGCAACAGAGTGAGTCTCCAACTCAAAAAAAAAGAAAGATCTGACTCAAAAATAAATAAATAAATCTGAGTGACCAGGGAACCAGGGTAACTGTTTTCAGTGAGAGAACTTCTTTCCAGGGAAGGTTGGCGAGTTCATAGTCACGCCGAGGCAGTGGGCAGAGAGCCAAATGGAAATGTCAGGAGATGAGGGGACAGAACTCAGGATACGGGGTCATGGGACTGGAAGGAAACAAGGGCTCTAAGAGCGAGGTCACAGAGCAAAAGTAAGGAAGCCCTTTGGGGCTGCATATTGTAGGCTGGGGAGCCAACAATGAGAAGGAATGACTGGTGAGAGGCCTCCAGGGAAGAAGGAAGCTCCCCAGTGTCCAGGTGTGTGGGAGAGGGAAGCAGGTTGGGTGGGAGGCTGGCCACTGGGCATGCATACTCAAACAGCGTGGGGGTGGGGGGAATGGGGACAG